ATTATTATTATTAATTAATAATAGGCACCTGTCTGGGTCACCACGTCTAAGGAAGCAAGACAGGCACTGGTCCCACCATGGTGAATCACCGGCAGGCCAGTTGTGAGTGTATTGGACACTTACAGCAACGTGCCCATGTCTGGAGTCCAAGGCTGTGGAGTACTGGCAAACCATCACCAGCCGAGGGTCAGAGATGGGGTCTCTGAGCCTGCGCTAGGTGTATAAGGCTCTATGTGCTGGAAACCATTCACCTGGAGTGGGGGAGGGATAGCTCAGTGGTTTGAGCATTGGCCTGCTAAATCCAGCGTTGTGAGTTCAATCCTTGAAGGGGCCATTTAGGGAACTGGGGTAAAAATCTGTCTTGGGATGGGTCCTCCTTTGAGCAGGGGATTGGACTAGATGACCTCCTGAGGTCCCTTCCAACCCTGATATTCTATGATTAGAATCTTTTGTCTGCAAATAGCTTTGCATCCCTCCCCGTCATGTCACAGCTATGCAGAGGCCTTAAACCAAGAGAACTCTCCATGTGCAAGCCTTGTCAATTGCAGCCCACACTGGTGGTAATTATAATGTAATACTTAGGCCTTATCTAGCACTTTTCATCTGCTGCTCTCATAGCACTTCACAAGGGACATTGGTATCATTGCCCCCCTTTTACGGATGGGGGGGACTGAGGCACTGAGAGGGGAAGCAACTTGCCCAAGGTTACCCAGCAGGCCAGTGGCACAGCCAAGAATAGAATCCAAGTCACCATCTAGTGCTCTGTCCACTAGGTGGCACTGCTTCCTAGCACTACCCCTTTCGACTCAAGTGGTTAGCCAATATTCAGGTTATTTCCATTAGGAGGAAAAATTGGTGCCACAAGTCAGATATTTCTTTGATGCAGTCCTGTTTATTTACAAAGAATGCACACAAAGTCCGGTTTCTCCAAACACAGTAGAAACAAACAGCAGCAGGCAGTTTCCTTGCTCACAATTTCCAAGCCTGCCTCTCCAGCAGTCCCGTGCCCCCAGGAGCTCTGTCTCTCTGCTCCCTTCCACGGCCATGCTCATGACTGCTTCTCTTGCTGTCTGCTGGTTTTCTGCCTCTCAGTCACCCACACAGTCATACACAGCTTCGACTAATCAATCCCCCAGCCACTGCATTCGCAATCAGTCCAAGGGAAGCTGTTCAAACCACAGAGCTTAGCTTTCTTTGGCTTCGCCATGTGGCTCAGTGCCTTGGATGGTAGCTTATTGTTTTCCAGATATTACCACACAATGGACATTTAATTGCTCCCTCCATGTAGCCTGAAAGGAAGGTGCTTAGAAGAATACCTATCGCCTTTAACCAGGTCTGTGATTGTCTATAGCCAGGGCTCGCTCCAGATTTTTTTCCGCCCCAAGCGGTGAAGAAAAAAAAAAAAGCCGTGATCGGCGGCACTTCGGCGGCAGCTCTACCGCGCCGCTTCATTCTTCGGTGGCAATTCAGCAGCCGGTCCTTCCCCAAGAGGGACTGAGGGACCCGCCGCCGAATTGCCACCGAAGACCCGGACATGCCGCCCCTTTCCATTGGCCGCCCCAAGCACCTGCTTCCTGCGCTGGTGCCTGGAGCCGACCCTGTCTATAGCTCAGCGCCCTGCCGGATGGCAGCCATAACACCAGCTCCCATCTCAGCTCTGCCCATCATCCCTCTCTTTGCTTGGCCAAAATTTTGGTAGCCCCAAAATGTCCAGCAGTTTTTAATTTTAACATAACCTGAGCACCTCCTTTTTCAGTGTATCTGGTACCTGTCCCTGTCACCCATTGATTTCTCCCATGTTCTAGAGTCTAGACCATAATTAATCTTTAAGCTCCAAGCTTTCCCATCCTGACCAGCATAGTGAGGGGATACTAGACGCTCCAGGGTGGCTGCATTTGCCAGTTGCTTTCCCAGTCACACACTACTCTGATTTCAGGGTCGGCTCTTTGGGAAGCTTTTCACTGCTCTGGAGTTCATGCCTGCACCCTACATCCACTGTCCCAGGGATGAACCAGGAACATTTGCACTTTGTGGAGCATAGAGAGCGAGGCGAGGGTCATTTCTCACTGAGCACACACTTTCCCTTTAATGGCCAGTTCCTTGCTCGCCTGCTAAGGGCAGTGTTTGCAAGAAGGCCAGCTGGACAAGGCATCAGCATTCCCATGCTTGTGTCCAGGCCTGTGTGTGATTGTGAAATCACAGCATTGCTGGTTCTCCAGCCACCTGGAAAGTGGCCCCTCAAGACTCCTAAATCCAAAGAGCCATTGCAAGGATGCCTGGTCTGGCCTGACCACAGGCGTTAAGTTCTCCTAGCCAGCTAGTGGTGGAAACGTTCTATAGTTGTAATCGTTGCCAGGCATTCCTTCAATTGGTGCAATAATTTCTTCCAAGAGAATTTAGTCTTTTGCTGTGATAAGCCACCACCCTCTCCTGTCTTTTGTGTTCTGGTGTCAATACCACCCCCAGCTCACAAGTGCTAGCATCTGGGTCCAATAGGAAAGAGGGTTTGAAACATGACTAAGCTAAGACAGGAGCAGTCACAAGTGCCTTTTTTTGGCTCTGCAAATGCCAGATCACACTGTGCTGACGCTGGAACGGTTTCCCTTTCTCACCCGACCTATGCAGCAGCTTTACTATATTGGCAAACTCACAAATACATCTTCTGTAATAGGAGCAGAGTCCTGTCAAACTCAGCACATCTGGGAATGGCTGAGGAGTTGGCTATTCTGTACAGCCTTCTTTTTCTTTTTGTCAGTGGAAGTTCTCACCTCACCAGTTGGGTGCCTGAGGTAGGCTACCTCTTCTTGGAACAACTTCGGTTTTGGGGTTCTATTTCAGATGATCAGCTTCCAGCCTGTAACAGACCATTTATAAATGTACCAGGTCCTGTTCACAGGTTTTAGCAGCACCAGGATGTCATGTAGAGTCTAGGTGTGGCAGGCAGGCTGGGAGGGGCCTGCCCTGTCACAGTCTCCATTAGCTTCTCAGGTGTGTGTGCTGCTTTACACAGACCAAAAGCCATCACTTTGTATTGCCACAGGCCCGCCCTGCTGTGCAGGCAGGTTGTCCCTCTCTGTTGGATCCATTTCCACATGCCAGCACCCACTGCTAAGATCCAGTGTGGGAAAACCAGACTGAACCTGCTTCAGTGTCCAGGGTATCACCTATTCCTAGTAATGGACAAGAATCCTTTAAAGTGACTTGATTTAATTTTCTATGGCTCACACAGCATCTGGTGCTGCCACCCCATTCTTACCTACCCCTCTGGTGAGCCCAAGGGCTGACTGAAGGCTCTACTATGTCTTCCGGAGACATTTTCTGGATGGCTTGTAATGCCTCTTCCCTCTTCCCAACTGGTGAGCTGGTTTCCTCCAGCATCAATCTTGTGCTGGACCAGTGCACTACAACCTATGTCTTTGGTGGATCAGGAGAACAACTCCTGATTCCTAACTGGAAAGTCCCTTAGGCCCAGGTATGTCTGCCCTGCAATTAGACACCGGCGGCTGGCCCGTGCCAGCAGGCTTGGGCTAAGAGGTTGTTTAATTGCGGTGTAGATGTTCTGGTTGTAGCCTGAGCTCTGGGACCCATCCATCTTGCCGGGTCCTCGAGCCCAAGCTCCAGCCTGAGCCCAATCAAACAGCTCCTTAGCCTGGGCCCCGTAGCCCAAGTCAGCTGGCACGGGCCAGCAGCCGCGGGTTTTAATTGCAGTGCAGACAGCCCCTCAGACTGTTCTGCTGCTTCTCATTGAAATACACAGCACTGCACTGAAACAATTCCAGTAGAAACTCTGGGAGCTTGCCTCTCCGCCTTGTACTTTTCCTCAGTGCCAGTGTTTACCAGACTCACTCATTCACAGGTAGCTACTGTGGTTCCTTTTCGGCTAGTTTCTGTTTGTCAGAAACATTTAGCAAACAAACAGGGATCGGTGCCAGCTTCAGAGCCACAAGAACTTAAACAGCTAAGATTCCCCAGGATCCTGGATCTCAAAGCAGGGCCACCCGCTCCCCATCTTTCCTTGCTGGGAAGCTACCACGGCATGTAGCCGTTAGAATGGGGGCAGGCAGCTCATTCACTGCAAACCAATTGCCTGCAAACTTGTCTCACCCGGGCCACATCCATAAAGGGAATTTGCCCAGACAGCATTTGTAAGACACCTACACAGTCCTTAGCCATCATGAAGTCCAAATGAATTATTAGCTCATCCGCGTCTCAGCTACCCAGATGTCTTGCTTGAATTCCAGACTTCAACCCCAATTTTCCCCATTGTGCGGGCATGCACATTCCCCAGTCATGGCTCCAGTTGAGCCCGAGGAGGCAGCTGGTAAAGGGTCTGGAGTGTGAACCCGGGGTAGGGGTTGTCCAAAAGTCCAGCTGTCGATCACATGGGCTACTGGAGCTACTCGGTTAGAGGGGAGTACGCAGGCTCTGACCCTGCCTGAGGCCAGCAGCCGCTACCCTGATGTGGGCAGACACACTCAGCCAGTGCATGCCACAAGCCCCGGGTGTGACTCAGCACTGACGGCCTCCAGAGTCCCCTCCCTGGAAAGACAGTGAATAGCAAGGGTGGGGGAGGGGGTAAAGTGAGGACAAGTGAGGGCTCCTCAGGGGCTGGATGGGGATACCCAGGAGTTCCCTACTGTGGACCCCCTGAGAGACCCCTACTATCTCCCCCCCAACACACACTCCTCCTGGGAGTGAGATGGGTCCATGGTCACTGCTCCCCAGGATGTGTGATACTGGCGCAGCCAAAGAGCTGTCATTCTGCTCCACCCCTGAATGTCCCTGGCTACAGTGTCAGTTCCATAGGGAAATGCCCTGCTGATAAAACCTGCTCCCCTGGGACTGATTGCATTGGGATCAAGAGCTCTGCAGTGTGGGTAAGAGCTGGGGCTGAAGTCCAGAGCTTGTCAAGTCCTTGGGAGCTGGTTCCAGCCTTCGCTCTGCAGCACAGCCCCTCCAGCGGCTGTGTTAGCTCCCAGCTGCACACCTGCCCTCGGGAGATGCCTGCGCAGCTGTTCCTCTTGGGTCTGATGCTCTCTGGTAAGTTCTCCTCACGGACGGACGGACGCAGCATTTCCCAGCAGGACATTTCTGGGGGAGGGCAGGGGACAAGCCACCACTTGCTAGTTCAGATTCAACCTCCACATGTAACTTCTCTGTGTCCCATTGTGTGGGATTGTAACCTCCCGCAGTGCCAGGGCTTTAAGGAGACATTTTGCCCTTAAACAAGAAGCTGAGGCCAGATTGCCTTTGATCATGCCACATGTTAGACTGTATAGTTCCCTTGGACTGTGTTGCCACAGAGCAAAAGGTAGGTTGAGCCTTGAATGACTCCACACTAAAGGAAGGAGTGTTGTCTAGTGGTTAGAGCATCAGACTCTCATTCAGCGAACCTAACTTCTATTCCCAGCTTTGCCACTGATTCCCTGGATGACCTTGGGCAAGTCACTGCCTCGCTCCATGCCTCAGTTTCCCCTTTGTCATGTCTCTTTAGACTGGGCTGTTCAGCACAGGGTCTGGTTTCTCACTCAGTGTTTGTACAGCATTGAGCACAATGGGAGCCTGAGCTCAGGTGGCGCCTCCAGACACCACTGAAATACAAACACTAGAGCTGTTCCCGAGGGAACAGGAACAGGAAGTGCTGACTTGAGTAAATCAAACAGATTGATTTAATCAGAATGCTGCTGGGAGATTACTGAACTGGTTTATTTCAGCTGTATCGTGTGGACACATTTAATATAATGGATCAATTCCCGTTGTTCAGTTATTCATTAGGCGCAGTCCCCTAGCGCCTAGGAGCCTTTGTCCTGGACCAGGAACCCTTTGTGCTAGGTGTTGTGTAAACACAGACCCAAACGATTGTCCCCACTCTAAAGAGCTTCACACCGAATCAACAGAGAACAGGCAGCTGGATGATAAAGTCTAAAGGAAAATTTTTGATAAAATCAAAACAAAACCGGACTCCTGGCAACCCTAGGTGGAGGGTCCAGGGCTCCCCACAGCAGCCTGGGCTCCCTGGGAAATCTTACCATGGCCCTGCTGGCTCCAGCTTCTGGCTTGGCCAGGGATCGGGGCCTTGGGTGGGAAGGGGAGGAGCAGAGGCAGGGTGCAGTGGCGATGGAGGTGTGTGGGGGGCCCAAATGTTCTTTGTGCCCAGGGCCCCAATAAATCTTAATGTGCCTCCGTCAAGGGAGGTGGATTTCAAACCTGAGCGTTAGGTCCATCCTCTCCAGGTTGGGATGTGAACGCTGATTGGATGTCAGCGATGCCATTCAAACATCAGTAATACTGGCATTGCTCAGGCTCTGACTCTTCCTCAGGTGTATGTTCATTTTATGACAAGATTGATACAGGCATTGATACAGGGGTTATTGCACACCTGAGTGATCAGTAACTATTAGAGCTGTGCAGAGGCCAGAAATGCCAGTTCACAAAGGATTTTGAAATATGGCTTCATTCAGAATTGGAATGAAACTGCACAATATTGAAATTCTCCATGAAGGAAAATTCTAAAAAAAATTAAGTTTTGTTTCAATTTTGACTTTTTTCAAGTTTTGTATTCTATTATTATGAATTACAGATAATGTATTGGCCTATAGTATATAACAGAATAGAAAATCAAACTGAAACAAAAAGTTATTTCAAACTGAAAAATTGAAATGTTTCATTCTGACAATTTTGCCTAACTTTAATGCCCAGAAAGATACAGGAACAAATTATTAAACAATCAATTTGTAAGGATAATAGTTTATAAGGAATAGCCAGCTTGGATTTGTCAAGAACAAATCATGCCAAACCAACTCCTTCTTCGACAGGATTACTGACCTAGTGGATGTGGGGGAGGGGAAGCAGTAGACGTGCTATAGCTTGATTTTAGTAAGGCTTTTGATACGGTCCCACATGACATTCTCATAAGCAAATCAGGGAAATGTGGTCTAGATGAAATTACTATAATGTGGATGCAAGACTGGTTGAAAAACCATATTCAAAGAGTAGTTATCAATAGTTGACTGTCAAAATGGAATGAAGTATCTAGTGGGGTCAGTCCTGGGTCTGATACTATTCAATATATTAATGAATGATTAGGATAATGGATTGGAAAGTGTGCTTATGAAATTTGTGGATGACACCAAGCTAGGAGGGGTTGCAAACACTTTGAAGGACAGGATTAGAATTCAGAACTGGAGAACTGGTCTGAAAGCAACAAGAGGAAATTCAATAAAGACAAGTGCAAAAGTACTTCACTTAGGCAGGAAAAATCAAATGCCCAACTACAAAATGGGGACTAACTGTCAAAGTGGTAGCACTGCTGAAAAGGCTCTGGGGGTTATAGTGGATTGCAAATTGAATATGAGTCACCAGTGTGATGCAGTTGGGAAAAAGACTAACATAATTCTGGGTGTATTAACAGAAGTGTCATATGTAAGACACAGGCGATAACTGTGCCACTCTACTTGGGCCTGGTGAGGCCTCAGCTTGGAGTCCTGTGTCTAGTTCTGGGCACCGCACTTCAAGAAATCTGTGGACAAATGGAGGGAGACCAGAGGAGAGCAATAAAAAAGATAAAAGGTTTAGAAAACCTGACCTGTGAGGAAATGTGACAAAAACTGGGCCTGTTTAGTCTTGAGAAGACTGAGGGCTTGTCTACACTTACCGGGGGATCGACACGGCGATCGATGCATCTAGTGAAGACCCGCTAAATTAACTGCAGATCACTCTCCCGTCGACTCCTGTACTCCACCGGATCGAGAAGAGTAAGGGGAGTCGATGGGAGAGCGTCTCCATTGACATTGCGTAGTGTGGACCCCGCGGGAAGTAGAGCTAAGCTACGTCGACTTGAGTTATGCCAGTCACGTCACTCAAATTGCGTAGCTTAGATCGACTTTTCCCTTTAGTGTAGACAAGGCCTGAGAGGGGACCTGATAGCAGTCTTCAGATATGTTAAAGGCTTTTATAAAGAGGCTGGTGACCAATTGTTCTCCATGCGCACTGGGATCTTCTAAACCCCGTCACTGGAGGTTTATAAGAACAGGCTGGACAAACAACTGTCAGGGATGGTCTAGGTTTCCTTGGTTCTGTCTCAGTGCAGGGGGCTGGACTACATGGCCTCTCAAGATCCCTTCCAGCCGGACATGTCTATGATTCTATGACAATGTCAAAATGGGACATTTCAACAGTGTTAGGATTTTTTTTTCTGGTTTTCTTCCAAGGTGAAATTCCAGAGCACTCGATGAGTGGAGTGTTCCACTGTTATCAGACTCCCATGCCGACGGAATATGGTTCTGTCAAAGCTCTTCTGCCAGCTCTATTAGCTACAGTGCTGTAGGAGCCACCCAAGGTGTGGACTATATTGCCCAGCACTGCATGACCTCTTGGGCCACATGGCTCCATATGGCTCTGCCAGGAACATTTCTTCACCTGGAGAAACCTGTCAGACAGAGATGTGAGCTCTGCCCCCCCACAGACGGTGCCAGTTAGCACTGAGACAGGCCTAGTGGAAGGGATTATGGGATAAAGCACGTTCTGAAGCAGGCTTGAAAGAATTCGGGGAGGGGAAGTTGTTACGTTCCATTTCTGGCACATTTCCATAAACATGTTGGTTCAATTGCCTAGGATTTGGTTAAAATACAATAATATTGTGATGCTGGCAGACCAGGTGCCAGTTCATGTCAAAGCCCCAGGCCTCACTGCATGCTTACAAATGCTTGGCTGGAAGCCAGGCCAATTCACTAGTGTATCAGTATAGATCAAAGTGATTGTTAAATGTGTATTTAAACTTCATGACAATGAATGGGACATTAAATGCATTGTTTTAACTTATCTGTATCCCATTATAATGTAATAGCAAACATCTACATTGGGTACACCCCTGTAACTAAATAACCCCTCAAACAAGAAAGAGGCCTTGTGGAATGCAAATAAAGAACTCTAACAGAAAAGTGCTAATTTCAAATCAAGTTGTCATTGTGTGTGATGATCAGAGATCAAAGACTTAAAATGCATTCCTCACTCTCTGTCCTCAGAGAAGGAGCCCACGGGGGTAGTGACCCTGTCAGCTGGTCTTCTGTCAGAAAAAGCTATAAGAATGGATTCAGGGAAAGATCCTTCATGTCTGGACTGTTTGGACTCTTACAGGGAAGTGCACTGGATGCAAAGCAGAGATCCCCAGAGACAATCTGGGTACCCTGAAAAGACTTTTGGGAAACTGGCAGTTTATTACATCACTGACACCATTTGGAGTTACAAACTGTGACTCCATGCATCCGATGAAGCGGGTTTTAGCCCACGAAAGCTTATGCCCAAATAAATTTGTTAGTCTCTAAGGTGCCACAAGGACTCCTCGTTGTTTTTGCTGATACAGACTAACACGGCTACCACTCTGAAACCTGTGACGCACCTGTTCATATATTTTACTTGCTTTAACCTCAATAACTCTCATTTCCTTTTCTTAGCTAATAAACCTATAGTTAGTTTACTATAGAATTGGCTGCCAGCCTTGTCTTTGGAGTACCAGTTGATCTGGGGTAAGTGGCTGGTCTCTGGAGACTGGGAGCAACCTGATGCGGTGTGATTTTTGGCGTGACCATTTATTACAAAGGCGAGTTTGTCTGGGTGACAGGATAGACTGGTAGGGTTACCAACATTCTGATTGCAGAAAACCGAACACCCTTGCCCCGCCCCCTACCCCACTCCTTCCACAGGGCCCCACCCCTTGCTCACTTGATCCCCCCTCCCTCCATCTCTTGCTCTCCCCCACCCTCACTCAATATTTTCACCACGCTGGGGCAGGGGGTTGGGGTGCAGGAGGGGGTGAGGGCTCTGGCTGGGGGTGCGGGCTCTGGGGTGGGGCCGGGGATGAGGAATTTGGTGTGCAGAAGGGGGCTCTGGGCTGGGGTCGAGGGGTTCAGCGTGTGGGAGGGGGTACAGGGTGCAGGCTCTGGGAGGGTATAGGAGGGGATTCCAACCTGGGGTTGGGGTGTGGGAGGGAGTGCAGGGTGCAGGCTCCGGCCAGGCAGTGCTTACCTCAGGCGGCCCCCAGAAGCGGTGACATGTCCCTCTGACTCCTAGGCATAGGGGTGGCCACAGGGGCTCCACATGCTGCCCCCACCCGCAGGCGCCACCCCCGCAGCTCCCATTGGCTGCAGTTCCTGACCAATGGGAGCTGCGGAGTTGGCGCTCAGGGCGGAGCACGAGCCCCCGGCGACCCCTAAGCCTAGGTGCTGGACATGCTTCCGGGAGCCGCACGGAGCCAGGGCAGGTAGGGACTAGCCTGCCTTAGCCCCGCTGCACCGCTGCCAGGACTTTTAGTGGCCCAGTTAGCGGTGCTGACTGGAGCCACCAGGGTCCCTCTTTGACCGGGCGTTCCAGTCGAAAACCAGACGCTTGGCAACCCTATAGACTGGAGAGTCCAAAGGAACTGTCTGTGACTCCATGGTAAGACTGGTAGAGTGATGCAGGAGTTCACATTTGTTATGGGCTTGGTGAAGTCTAATTATAGGCCACATCACCAGCTTGCGGTGTCTGCCGTTCTCTGACATCTGCCCTGCGGTCAGCACTCATGGTCATGAGCCACTCCAGACAGCATGACAAATATTCAGTTAAATAACATCACTGTTTTGTGATGCTCACAAAGGTTATGCAGGAGTGTGAGTGCCAACCTCAGGACTGCCTCAGGGCACCAACCCCAAACGTTGTGAGTTCTATACTTAGATTTCACCAACCAAATGCACCAAGTGAAAACTCCTCAGGCACCCAAACCATGTCCCCGCCCCGCCCCTTCCATCAATGCCTGGCCCATGCACTGCCCCTACCCCCGAGGCCCTGCCACCACGGCACCCCTTCTCCCTGAGGCCCTGCCCCTTTCCCCAAGGCCCCGCCCCTGCGCTGCCTCTTCCCCTCAAGACCCCATCCCCTGCTCGCTCCTCTCCGCTCCCCGTCGCTCACCTTTACGGATGGTAAAAAGTGATGGGGCCATGGCCCCCTGCCCCCCCCCGCCCTGTTCTGGCATCCCTGGTTACAGACAGTCCCCTTGGGTTCTCCAGTCTGTCTTGCCACACGGGTGATCATAGCTCTGTGGTAGTTGGCCCCTTACACCAAGAATCACAGCAATGTTCAGGTTATTTCTGATCCCAATGGACCAGTCACTTATCCCAATCAGTTGTGCTTTAGGTCTCACCCCAAAGACAAAGCCTGTAGTCAACCCTATAGTAAACTATATGAAGACGTATTAAATAGGAAAAGGAAATTAGAGTGTTATTTGCAAGCCAGCCAGCAAATATAGACACACAACTGACACAAATGAATTACAGTCTTAGGGCTTGTCTATACTTACCGGAGGGTCCGGCGGCAGGCAATCGGTTTTCTGGGATCGACTTATCGCGTCTAGTGAAGACGCGATAAAATCGATCCCTGATCGCTCTGCCGTCGACTCCGGAAATCCACCGCGGCAAGAGGCGGCAGCGGAGTCGACGGCAGCGCGGCAGCGGTCGACTTTCCCCCGTCCTCACAGCCAGGTAAGTCGACCTAAAATACGCAACTTCAGCTACGGTATTCATGTAGCTGAAGTTGCGTATCTTAGGTCGGACCCCCGCTGTAGTGTAGACCTAGCCTTAGGTTTCAAAAGATAATACAGGCTTCTGTAATCAGCAAGCTCTGGATGTCCTTCAGGGCTAACCCAGGCTAAGCAGCCGAGGATCTCTTGGTTATGCCTAAAAACAACTTGTGCCCCCCCTGCGCCTGAGTCCAAGCAGCCTAGAGACCTTAGTTCCTTTGGTTTGAGGTTTTTATCCCCCTCCTGCCATGTGCTCTGAGCTGCAAACTCAGCAGACGGCAGCGGCCACTCAGGTGACTCATCTTCACGGGAAGGGAGCAGCAGAGCAACTATAGGAGTCTTTTTGTTGACAGTTTGTCAGTCCAGATGTGGGGAGTTTCCAGTTGTAAGAACCAACCAGAGCCCACCTGGCATTGCTGGGTCTCCTCTTGGGGGCGGAGGGGGGGGGTGTAACAATTTCTGTAGAAGAGCAGCTCCCTCTCCTGTATGGCAATTCAGTCCCAGAGGCTCCCAATACACCCGCTCCAATATTACCTTCCAATCTGGAGCACAGATATTATAGGTAAGATGAATGCAGGCAGCAACTCACAAGCATTCAACAGAGTCTAGACACTAAAAACTTTCTTATAATTCTAATACCTGTTTTATCGCTATTAACCCACGTGTCCAGTTGAGACATGGAACCCTGGCGTGAGCTGGTGCCTGGTCTGCTGGTGTTACATATTAATCTCCAGATCTCAAGGCACTTTACAAGGCTGGGTCAGCACCATTCTCTTCATTTTACGATGGGGAAACTGAGGCATGGAGAGGGGACATGACTTCCCAAGGAGTCACAGAGAGCTGGGAATAGATCTCAAGCCCCATTTCCTGCTGGAACCCGCTCTCTCCCAGAGCTGGCAATATACCCCCAGCGTCCTGAGCTCTCACCATGCGACCAGGCCCTGACATTAGAAGTATTTTATGGTGTATTTGAGACATGCCACTGTAAGGCAGGAGAATCCAAAGCTCAAATGTAGCCTGTGGGTCTTCAACTCCAGATCCCAAGGGACCAATGAGTTCCCACCCGCCTAGCCCCAAATGCTGACGAGGCAGCTGCCTTAGCTATTTTTCATCACATGGCAACTTTCACTGGGATTTTGCCTCCATCCATGTTTGACTCTCCAACCCATGAATCGTGGTAAATGACCTCCCCAAAGCCACCATCTTCCTCCTGCAGCCACAGGCTGATGCGAACGAGAACCAGGCCAAGCTACAGCCCAGCTGGAAAGGGCAGCCCTGCAATCTCCCCCGCAGATCCCCAGCCTAGCTGGGGCTGGCCCCCTGATGCTGGCTTTTATCCTCTCTGGTAGCTTGGCCTCACCCTGGCGTCCAGTCCATCTTCATCAACAGATGCAGCAGTCCTGCCCCGAAGGTGTGTGACTTTGTTTGCGACTGCAGGGACTGCTCCGATGAGAACCAGTGCGGTGAGTCCCGGCTGCCTCTCACTCTTGCTCTTTGGCTTCTGGCTGCTCTTTCCTGCATAGCAGCTTTCCTGGGATTAGCAATCTGCAGCCCAAGAGCCTCGGGTTCCCCAGGGTCCTGGGCCCTGAACCTGCTCCAAGAAAAGAGTAGGGAACCAGGTAGGGTTGCCAATCCTCCAGGATTGGCCTGGAGTCTCCTGGAATCGGCATCCATCTCCTTGAAAGCAATCCAGGAGATTTTACTAGGATATTTTAAGAAAATGACATTATGTCATGTTGGGGGGGAGGAGAATCTCCCGGAATAGCTTCAGTCAGAGTTGGCAGCCCTAGAACCAGGGCCCCACTGCTTCACACAAGGATGGGCCAATGGCCCTGAATGAGCCAAATGCACTGCAGGGCTACGCAACTGTGGCTTTCCTGCTAGCTCTGCCTGGCACGAGAGCCACCTCAAGTTATCCACATGCCACTTACCCACCCACCTAAGTACCCACTCTCCTCACCAATTCCACTCATCCCCCACTCCCCTACCCCCTCCCACAGGAATCCCCAAATGTCCGATGCTGCTGATTTATCACCAGCAGAAACATCCTGGAATCTGCTACTCCCAGGAGAGTCCTGCCCAGCCCTCCCGAGCACTAATCACTCTCCTCTGCTTCCCAGCAGGTTATCACAGAGAATCAGTCACGCTGGGAACCCCCTTCACCTGCGATTTTGAAGAGGGCAACTGTGGCTGGAAGGACGTGAGCACCTCTGTCTACAGATGGGTCACAGACCGAGCCAGCATCGCCATGTGGGGGACAGGACCCAGCGCCGATCACACCCGGGGCACTGATCTGGGTAAGCGCACCACATTCTGCTGGGTAGCCTGTGGCCACTCTCGTTACCTCTGCACTGGGGTATCGAGTTGAAAAAATCGCCCTCCCTGCAGCAGCTGTACCTGACGAGCGTCTAGGGGTAGGGTGCACTGTGGTGTTCAGAACAGATCCGCCTGTGATCGGCACACGGTGGCTCTTTGGGACTCCTTAGCCCTGGTGCTTTAAGGCTAGGATTATAAATGCACAAAAGCCAGGGTGTTACCTGCACGTACACTCTAGGGCACCCACCTTTACCATTCTGTGGGCTCAAGGTGTAACCTGATTAATTTAGGCACCCCCACCCTTACCCAGTTCCTAATGCTCTGGGCGAAAGGCACCTACCCTTACCCAGTTCCTAGGGCTCAGGACGTAATCTTCTATGGGTTTGCAGGGTCTTTTACCAGTGAAGGAGCCTTACACAGTAATATCCTCTATTTATTAACAGCTACCAAAACAGAACACACTCGCTAAGCAGACAATGCTCACCATTCCCAATAAGGCAGACGAACTTTTCCTGGTGGCCAGGCAGGATCAGGTTGTCTGGGGCTCCTCCAGCTTCTGCACGGTGTGGTTGGCAGGGTGCCGAGGTCTGGCAGCTCTGATCTTGGGTTATGTCCTGGAGTTAGGTTCCAAAGAACTTCCTTTTGGACCCCAGTTTATATAGTGAAACTTGAGTTCTGCTTAGCTCTACCATCACCAACCATTGTAGACTGAAGTGCTGCAAGACAGTATTTTTCACCCATCCTAGCCAATTACGAAACCATTCTTACCCAATCAGACCCCAGCACCTGAGTTGATTTAAATCTTGCAAAATTAGTTATGCCACAGACAGAAACAATCAAAGAACCAGACAGAGACCCTACAGATAAACAATAGAGAAGTGGGGACTGTAAAGACAAAACAATAGAAGTAGAGATTTCACAATCACAACTGTTGAGAAGTGGTTCCTTGCCAGGCAGAATGCTGTCAACATTTTCTTTAAACATTTTAAGTTCTGTTTCTTTATTTGGTGATGGTGGCCACTGTTAGGACAGGAGCACATTCTTCACAGCCCCATATGACATTGTTTTGATGTAATTTAGAGGGAATGTGAGGATGTGACTCTCTGCTTCTTAGCTCATGGCTGTGACTGGCTGCTGCGGCTTCCTGCAGAAAAAGGCCTCAGATCTTGCAAGGGCATTTGGGAGCCAATTCTTTATTAGCCAGTGCAAAGCTGGTGTGAACTACTACTACTAACCCAAACAGGGAGCTTTACCCCTTCTTGGCCCCGGAGTAAACGGCTACCCAGGATGTAGGGCACTGGAGAGTCTGGCCCTTGGAGTTCTTGAAAGGCCCATCCAGTCACATGACTTCATGGCACATAAACAGGATTTGGTATTTCTATAGCTGGGCTTTTCCTTTACTCTTTAAAACACATGCTGGCTTTGGGTCTGTCTACGCTGCAATAAAACACCTGGGGCTGGCTCATGTCCTCTGACTTGGGGTTGTGGGGCTATAAAATTGCAGTGCGGACATCCAGGCTCGGCCTGAAGCCCTGTCTCTCGGACCTTACCCATTCACACCCCTGAGCGGCACAGCTGGGTCGGTCTACATTTTAAATGTAGACCAGGCCTGAGAAAAGGACGAGGCATGATGGAGGTAGTCAGAGATGAGGAGGCCTGTGCAAGGAGCTGGCGTGAGTGGAGATGCAGAGAAGAAGGGGTGGGGGAAGGCTGCTCCAGATGCCATGAGCTGCAGAGGAGAAGGCTCTTTGCACAGGTAATAGTGACTCAATTCTCAGGTGTATATGGAATCATGCATTCAAATAAACTCGGGTAAATGCTGCCTCTCAGTGTGGCAATGCTGCCCAGGAATGAGAACTGTTTTCACAGGTTGCTGCTGCTATTTGAAATATCCCTCCTGGGGGGGCATTCCTCCTGTTGGTCTGTGTTAGAGCCTAAGAACTGGAGCCTGGTTTTCGCTTGCTGTAGGTGAGGCTCCTGGTGAGAACACACGTGGTGTGGCATTCGCGATAGGTCTGTTTCCCATGGAGTAGATCAGGGAAGGGAATGTGTCTCCTTCTCTGCCTCCCCTCGCAATGTGAATGATCCTCCTGATGTATGCTCTCCCCAGGCTGGTACATGGCTGCAGAGATGCGCAGAAACACATTTGCTGCCATCGCTAAGTTAAGGTCCCCTGTGATGCGACAAGCGGCAGCCACCTGTGAGATCCGAGCATGGTATCGCCTGTGGGAAACAGGTAAAGGTGTACACACTGCACTACACCAGTGCTGTGCTGGGGGATGGAACCCAGCCTCTCCTGCCCCTGGCACAAGCACAGGGACAAGATCTGTGCCTAGTGTTCAAAGGAGCACTGGAGGGGGCAGGGCTGCTGCAGAGGGTGGAGGCTGGGATGGGCAGCTGGCCAGGACAACTGACGGGGTGGGGTTGCTCCCAGCACGTTGATGTGCTATTGTCTGGTATAGGGAGGGGTGCATGCCTGTCCAAAACAGCTGGTACAGGACCCTTCTGGAGCGAGGATCTGGGCTTGATGGAGCCCTGTCTGATCCGATCTGGCAGTTCTTATATTCCTTGTATGAACTGAATTGTCAATGTTTTAGCAGCTACTGAGCACCAGATACCATTGGTATTACCACTAAATAGCCCCTTGCCTTCCACTCGCCCATTTTCGTCTGAGGGTCCATAAGCATTTTACAGACATTTCTGAATCCTCACAGTCTCCCTGTGATGTGGGGAATAATATAATCCCCATGTTATGGTTGAGGAAACTGAGGCACAGAGGGGGGAGGGATTTGCCCAACTTCACCCAGTGAGTGAGTGGCAGAGCCAGGGACAGGGTCAGAATCTATCATACTCTGTCTGGGTCTCTAGAGGGCCACTGGGCCCAGAGAGACCTTTCCAGCTGCTAGGCCACCAGAACTGGGTCCTTCTGGTGAGATTAAAGCAGAACTTTACAGACCTCAGGAATCCTGGTTCCCAGTTGCCTAGAAACTGTAACGCACAAGCCAGGCTGGCCTCGCACCCTGAGCAGCAGCATTCTGTACTGCTGTGCAGAAGGCTTGAGTGGGGGGCACCACGGTGCCTGAGCTAGGATGAGAGGACGGCACTGGCTGATGCTATAAGAACATAAGAACGGCCAGACTGGGTCAGACCAAAGGTCCATCTAGCCCAGTGTCCTGTCTTCCGACAGTGGCCAATGCCAGGTGCCCCAGGGGGAATGAACAGAACAGGTAATCATCAAGTGATCCATCCCCCGTCACCCATTCCCAGCTTCTGGCAAACAGAGGCTAGGGACACCATTCCTGCTCATCCTGACTAATAGCTGTTGATGGACCTATCCTCCATGAACTTATTTAGATCTTTTTTGAACTCTCTTATAGTCTTGGCCTTCACAACATCCTCTGACAAGGAGTTCCACAGGTTGACTGTGCGTTGTGTGAAAAAATACGTCCTTTTGTTTGTTTTAAACCTGCTGCCTATAATTTCATTTGGTGGCCCCTAGTTCTTGTGTTATGAGAAGGAGTAAATATCACTTTCTTATTTACTTTCTCCACACCAGTCGTGATTTTATAGACCTCCATCATATCCTCCCTTAGTCGTCTCTTTTCCAAGTTGAAAAGTTCGAGTCTTATTAATCTCTCCTCAGACAGAAGCCGTTCCATACCCCTCATCATTTTTGTTGCCCTTTTCTGAACCTTTTCCAAGTCCAATATATCTTTTTTGAGATGGGGTGACCACATCTGTATACAGTATTCAAGATGTGGCCGTACCATGGGTTGATATAGCGGCAACATGATATTTTCTGTCTTATTATCTATCCCTTTCTTAATGATCCCCAACATTCTGTTTGCTTTTTTGACTGCCGCTGCACACTGAGTGGATCTTTTCAGAGAACTATCCACAATGATGCCAAGATCTCTGTTGTGAATGATAACAACTAATTTAGACCCCATCATTTTATATGTAGAGTTGGGATTATGTTTTCCAATGTGCATTACTTTGCATTTATCAATGTTGAATTTCACCGGCCATTTTGTTGCCCAGTCACTCAGTTTTGAGAGAATTGGTGACTAGAGACTGGCACGTCAGGCTGGGGCACTCGGGGGTGCCCCAGGCTGGAGGAGAGCCCATGTGACTCTGGATCCTGGCTTGCTTGTAGGGCTTAACGAGACGGTGCAGCCGGCTCTGTGGGTGGAGCTGACATATGACAATGAGACCAGAACGCTGTGGCAGAGTCCCAAGAGCAGCATCTCTGCCTGGCAGGAGCTGGTTGCATACACAGGCCGGGTGCCAGGGGAGTTCCAGGTGAGAAACCAACCATCAGCCTGTTCCGCGCCCCGTGGCAACAGCCCGAGCCAAGTTGGCAGAGCCTGAGCACATGCAGGCCTCCCATGCCAGCTAGGAATGATGTGCTGATACATGGCCCTCCAGCGAGTGGGGCGTGGGACACTGCCTGTGGGGCAGCCCCACACCTACCTCCCAGGGAAGCGCAGAGCTGCAAAGGCAGGGAAAGGGCTGGGTAGACATTGCAGCTGTGGCGTGTGGTGGCCAGAGATAGGTCACATGGGAACCAGCCGGCTCTGGAGATCAGGGCACCGGTTCGATATTGGCCCATAGCATTAGCATAGAACCAGGCCAGTTAGACAGTCCACATGTGACAGGCTTGTGTCTACAGACCCCCTTTGAGAGGGGCTAGTGCTCGGTGGGTGATGGGCCCTGGACAGGGGGCATGCCCAGCAAATGCAAACTCTGCAACACCTGCTGGGGGGCTCATGTCAGCTCTGGCTGGGGGAGGCTACTTGTCCCACCTGCGGGGGAAGGGCAGGCAGAAGTCTCCCCCCTTCCCCATTCCCACAGGAGGGGAGGGGGAAGAGGGAGCAGAAGGACCCCAGCGGCTGCGGGTGGTCAGGCCCACGCCTTGGGCCGTGTCAGTTGTGCTGGTGTCTAAGCTGTGCCCACACCAGGGTTTCCCTTCTCTTGGCAGATAACCCTCTCCTCGCGGCAGAGCTCCTTGCAGCTGGACGACGTGGAGTTCAGGAGCTGTGGCTTGCCGCGTAAGGCAGCACCCCCCCTCGCACCTGCCTCTACCCGGGGTGCTGCGCTTGGCTGTGGAGTCAGGAGGGAGCCAGTGCAAAGCCCCCAAATGCTTCCCTTGTTCCTTTAGCCTCCCATTCCTCCCCTCGACATGCCCAGGGCAGGACAGAGCCCCTGGACTAGAGCACACGAGCCCCCTCTGAAGGGCTGCTGCTGCGTGGGGAAGCGGGCACGCTCGCTGCACTGTGGCAGCTACTTCCACCCCCCTGGCTGGCTGTGGATGTTGGGGATTCCCTGGGACCCCGGAGCTGAGGGGGCGGGGGTCAGAGGAAGTGAGCGCTCTGCTGGCTGGAGAGGGCCCACTGCCCAGAGCGTATGTGTGACCAGAGCTGTCGCTGGGGCTGCACGTTGTGCCCACACCGACACCTGTAATGCACTTGAGCCAGAGCCCCAGTCACCTACGCTGTGTTGGCTTCAGAGTCCCACTGCCGCTCTTCTCAGCCAGGCTGGGCCCAGCGGCCCTGGCCACAGACCCGCAACAAGGGCTAAGCCCAGGTAGCGGCATTCGGCTCTCCCCAACCCTCACAGCCGCATGCCCCCTCAACTCCCCGGGAGGCCCCAAGCACTACCAGGCTGCCACGCCCGCGCCATCTCTGGGGAGTGGGCACCAGACCTGCAAAGCTGGGATCTGCCCTATATCTCTGAGTGAGTTAACCCTTTCCTGCCTGCACTCAGCGCCCCTGAGCCTAGTGTGTGGCCCGGAGGAGAGGCACTGCAGCCGTGGATCATGTGTGCAGCTGGAGCAGCTCTGTGATGGCACCGACGACTGCGGGGATCTGTCAGACGAATCCGCCACCGAGTGCAGTGAGTGTTCCCGGGCCGGAGAGAGCTCAGCACCGGCCGCCAGGGGCTGGAGAGTGGGCAGGGTTCCCAGGCTGGAGAGTGGGCAGCCATCAGGGGCTGGAGAGCACCGGCTGCCAGGGGCTGGAGAGCGGGCAGTGTTCCCGAGCCGCTGGAGAGCATCAGCTCTCAGGGGCAGGAGAGCAGGTAGCATTTCCGAGCTGGAGACCAGCAACCATCAGGGGCTGGAGAGCACCGGCCGCCAGGGGCTGGATATCAGGCAGCATTCATGGGCCAGAAAGCACTGGCCTCCAGGGGCCCGCGAGTGGGCAGCATTCCCAGGCCAGAGAGCGCTAAGCACCAGCTGCCAGGGGCTGGATATCAGGCAGCATTCATGGGCCAGAGAGCACTGGCCTCCAGGGGCCCGTGAGTGGGCAGCGTTCCCAGGCCAGAGAGCGCTAAGCACCGGCCGCCAGGGGCTGGAGAGCGGGCAGCGTTGGTGGCCGGGGAGAGTGATGCTGTTAAATCCAGACAGGAACCACAGAGTGTGTGTGTGTTGGAGTCAGAGGTGGATGGGACCCAGTGGGTCTTTCCCAGACCACCCTGGGGGAGCAGGCTACGATTGCTGGGGGGCTCTGTGCCTGAATGCCTCCCAAGAGCAAAGAGTTTGGCCAAATCTTGCCATGTGCCACCCTGCTGCGCGAGCTGGGCCTGGCCCAGCATCTGGGAACTTTGGCATTGCCTGGTTCCGTCTGGACGGGGAGGCGTTGAAGCAGCCTATCCCCACCTTCCAAGGCTGTATTTGCTGGGAACGTCCCCCCAAGCCCAGAGCCCTGCCCCTGGGCTAAAGGGCCTAGGACACCCAGCCACGCAGTTCTGGCTCCTCCTAGAGAGGGCGGTGGCACGTGTGCCCACATGCCCAGGCACCCCCAGTGAGCTCACTGGGTATCTCTGGCCTGGATCTGAGCCAGCCTAGCCCGAGTGGTTCTGATCCTGAGCCTCTGCTCCCTTTGCAGGCTGCTCCAGACAACTCCCCGCTGTCCGCTGGGCATCCCGGCGAAAGCCCCAGGGACGCCTGTGTGGGCAGAGGAGTGAGTCTGCCCCCAGCCCTCCTTCCTGCCAGGGCCAGGGGAACTGAACCCGGTGCCACCCTCCCCATTGCTCCCCATGCCACTGAGTACCAGCTGTTCTCACACCCCCCCTCAGCGGGCAGAGGGCAGTACCCTGTGTGCGGATGCAAGAGAGAGAAATCACCCATGAAGGGGCTAATGAGGGGAGACTCCAGCCCTGGGGATGCCCTGCAGAGCCCTCCTGCCAGGTGGTGAGGGGAACCCGCGTGTGGTGTCACCCCCATTGCCACCTCCTTTCTCCTGCCAGGATCGTTCACCACCTGTTCCTTTGAGAGGGGCTGGTGTGGCTGGAACACTGGGCCCGATTACCCGACCTGGGTCAGGAACACAAGCCTCCACCTCGCGCCTGGGGCCCGCAGGCCCACACGGGACCACAGCAGCAACAGCAGGACAGGTACCTCTGCAACCCCCTTAGGGCTGCTGGGTCCCCCCCGTGCTGCGCCCATCCTGTCAGGAGAGGGAAGCGGAGTCAGGGATGCACCAGGGGCTTGGGCCGCTACGGGGCTGAGTAGTTCTGCTGTGTGTGTCTAGGGCTGAGCAGATGCCAGAGTCTGACACTGTTCCCTGCCCCCCAGAATGCTGCTGCCTGGAGTGATGTTTGGGGCCAGGTAACACTCTGTGGAGAGGCCAGGGAGAAGCAGCTTGCAGATCCCATCCATTCCTGTCCCCTCCTGGTCATCAGGTCACTGTGACTTTAGGATTGGCTCAACTCTGCTCTTACTGCTGTGAGGACTCCATGCAGAGGGAGGGTTTGGATTTCCCTGGAATATTTCCTGCCCTGAGCCCTGGCCTGGCGCAAGCCTGTTCACTACTACAGCTCAGAGCCCAAGACAAGCTGCTTTGCTTGCTCAGTTATTCGGTCACTGAACAGGGCCCAGGCTGGTTCTTCGGGCTCGTGGAATAATCACACCCATACTAGGGACAGGTTCCACACAGGCTGCCTTTCTTTACTACCTTGATTATGGGGGTTCCCACAATGCACCGCTGGCCCTCTGGGGTGGCTGGATGGCGCAGGCTCCAAAGCCATGTCTTAGACCCCTCTGCTGGTGGTTCTGACCTGCCTGCAGGCCCCCCCGCCTGCAGAGTCCTTGGCCTCTGGGGGAGGGGACAGCCATAATGTCCTCCTGGAAAGCAAGCTCAGTGGTTACTGGAAGGCACGGCCAAGAAAATAGAGCATAACAAATGTTAAACATTAACCCCCTGCCAACACACCTGGGACAGGCTGGGACCTCTGAGCCCTTGGGGAGGAGATAAAAGCAACCTGACCTTACTGCTCCCATAGAGGATGAGCTGTTCCCTCTGACACAGCACATCAGAGTGACCTTTGAGTCTGACAGTCCTTCCCCAAACACCCGGTGCTGACAGGTAGGAGTTCCGGCTCGAAGCTGCTCTCCTGCGTCAGTACACTCGGATGTTGTGCTCAGTGTGTCCATGCACAGCAAGAGGTGTCTCTGCCCCCGCCAGCGCAGAAGTCCTAAGTCACTGGCCTAGCCAGGGCCGGCGCAACCCATTAGGCGACCTAGGCGGTTGCCTAGGGCGCTACAATTTGGGGGGCGGCGGCCGTGGCGGTATTTCGGTGGCAGGACCTTCTGCCGCCTCTGTGGGGGGCGGGACCTTCCGCCGCCTAGGGCAGCAGAAAAGCTGGCGGCGCTGCTGGTCCTAGCCACTCTGCTCCCTGCTCCTTAGCTCGCTCCTTGCTTTGACTGTTGGATTTCTCAGTTGTCACAGGTACATTCTGATGTGCTCATGTCTGTTTCAAACAGGGTCTTTGTTCCAGGGGTGGGTGATGGCATCAGAGGTCCCCAAGTTAAAGCAGCTCTCAGGCCTTTATGCAAGCAAAATCTTACCAGATCTTTGTCTTCCTTCCTGCAGTCACCCCCCTTTGCATATTGCTAGGGAGTGCCTTCCATGCCCACGGGGGCGCATGCTAGTGAAACACCAACCAGCAGTTCACCATGGGAACCGGCTTGTGCAGGGAAGGTCACAACATAAAAACCAAATGTGCAAGTGCATGGAGGGGGCCCTAGTCTGCAAAAGTTTCTGCTGTTCGAGGCTGGGGGCCTCGCTCCAGGTGGCAGTTTTCTCTCCATAGTATTTGCCTCTCTTCATCCTTCTTGCTGGGGACTCTTTCGGGGGGGCGCAGTTACTGGACGGGTCTAACAACAATCCCTAGCTCGCATGGAGCGCTAGTCATCAGGCAATCTCAGCTCCAGGGGCGCTGTCATTATCCCCATTCTACAGCTGGGGAAGCTGAGCCACAGAGCAGGGAAGTGACTTTCCCATGGTCCCCCTAGAGCCCACATCCCATTCCAGTGCTTTGGCCACTAGGCCACACTGCCTCTCCCCCCAAGCAGGTAGAGCATGGTGCATGCCCAGTAATACATGGGGCCTGGGTATAAAGCCAGCCTGGGGGGCTGTATCAATGTGTGCTTAGGGTTGCCAACTGTCCCTGCCTGCCCTGCCCCCCCACCCCCGCCACTCCCGGAAGTGGCCAGCACGTCCCTGTGGCCTCTGGAGGGTGGGCGAGGGGGTCTCTGCGTGCTGCCCCCGCCCCTTGCACCGACTCTGCAGCTCCATTGGCCAGAAACTGCGGCCAATGGGAACTGTGGGGGTGGTGCCTGCAGGCAGGGGCAGTGCACAGAGCCCCTTGCCCCGCACAGGGGGCACAGGAATGTGTTGGCCGCTTCTGGGAGCAATGCATGGAGGGGGCAGTGTGTGGAGCCCCTGGGGGGCAGCACAGCAGGGCTAAGGCAGTTCCCGGCCAATGGGAGCTGCGGAGTCGGCGCTCGGGGTGCGGGCAGCGCACAGAGATCCCTGCCCTCCCCCCGCCAGGGCCGCAGGGATGTGCTGGCCACTTCTGGGAATGGTGTGGGGCCAGGGCAGACAGGGAGCCTGCCTTAGTCCTGCTGCGCCACCGACCGGGTGCCACCTAAGGTAAGTGCCACCCAGCCGGAGCCCGCACCCCTCACCCCCTCCCACACCCCAACCCCCTGCCCCAGCCCAGAGCCCCCTCCTGCACCCCAAACTCCTGCCCAGGCACAGCCAGGAGCCCCCTTGCACACTCTGAACCCCTCGGCCCCAACCCAGAGCCCACACCCCAACCCTCTGCCCCAGCCCACTGAAAGTGAGTGAGGGTGGGGGAGAGCGAGCAAGGGAGGGAGTGGGGCCTTGGAGAAGGGGCGGGGCAGGGGGTAGGGGGCAGGGCAGGGGTGGTTACACAGTTGGCAACCCAACGTGTGCTGCTGATCTCCTGTAGGCTTTTTCCTTCACGTCAGTACCAGCCCACAGGACCTGAGCAGCAGCGCGGCCAGACTCGTTAGTCCAACTTTCCAAGCAACCACGACCAGCTGCTGCTCTGTAAGTTGCCCCTGGGCTACACGGCTGCCAGCCTGCTCTCGGCTTTGCCTGGACAGGGAAGGACGGCTGACATCTTGGGAGTGGCTCCTACGCAGTGTCTAGGGACTGCAGGCAGGGCCCCTCTTCACCCACCTGCACCTCACCCTCTGGGGGCTGCTGCTGGGGAGAAACCAGCCCTTCAAGGCTTGCTGGAAACCACTGAACTCTGCAGGTGCCACTGGCCTCTGTGTTTGCCCGAGGCAGCTTGGGGATTTGCCGGGCAGCTGGTGCTCAGCTCCTGGCAGCTCCCAGCTAAGCAGCAGAGGGAAGGGCTGTGGATGAGCCGCACGAGGTGGGTATTTTATGGGAGCCTCAGCAGATCATTAGGCTTAAAATTCCCAAGCTCTGGATTTGATTGAGTCAAAGAGAGCCCTGGGCACCACCCGATTGGGTGGGAGGGACACTGACCTCCTCGCCAGCCAGTCAGGATCTCCAGCGCTAGGCACCTGCAGGAAGTTTGGGTGCTGATTGGCTGGTGAGGGTCGTGCTGTAGGCTGAGCAGCATCTCCTGGGGTCTTTGGGTGAGGAGAGCATGGCCCGGAGCCAGGCAGAGCCAGGCAGAGCTGCGGGGCACACTCCAGCCAGCACCCAGATAAACTGGGGGCTCTTCTGCAGCTGCCCTGCCCTCCTCATGCTGCCTCTGCTTTGGGCTGGGTGGCTGTGCCAAGGCCACGCTGGAGCCCGGGGCCTCCTTCCTGGCTGGCTGCTCCTGGGCATGCAGGGATTGAGCCTGGCACTGAGTGGCAGGGTTGGCAGAGTGAGGTGCTTATTGTCTGTGTGCTCGTTCCGGGTCCAGCTCGTGTTCTACTCCCACCTCTACGACTCGGCCACCAGCAGCCTCAACATCTACTACCAAACCAGCTCCGGCGTCATGCAGCTCATGCGCGCGAGGGCCGGGGACCTGGGTGATTACTGGTTCAGGGAGAAAGTGGACTTCAATGTGACCAAGAACTTCCAGGTGGGCAGCAAACCCTTCCTGTGCCACCCTGGGGGCTGGGCCAGCACAGGGTGCCAGGCCCATCTCTTGCCATGGAGCAGCAAGGCAATGTGGGTTTTAAGCCAGGGCCCAGTAGACCCGTGGCCGTGGTACAAAGCTTTGTCCCTCAGAAGGGACAAAGGGGAGAATGGGCATGAGCGGCTGCATCCCCTTGGAGCCGCTAGAGGGGTCCATCCCAGGAAGGGTTGGGGCAGCATAGGGCATGTACCTGCCCAGGAGATACCTTTCTTGGGGATCACAGGGGCCTTCAGGCTCCAAGGATGCCAATTCAACCCCATTCCCAGCCTGACCCTGCATCCCCATGACCACATTCCCCATCAACTTCTGAAGTCACACTGTGACTTTGCCCCAGTGAGCCAGGCCTTGGCCAGCCCTGCCCCAGTGCAGGGGGCACAGGACATGGGGAGAGCTCCCACCCCCCATGCTACACAGCCACGGACAGGACACAGGGTCTCCTGTTGTGCCTGGCACACCCCAGCCGGGACAGCGGATTAAAGAGCTGGACCAGCACTAAGAATTGGGTGCTGCAGCCGAGCTTCCCTAGGGGAATGAATTACACCCTGTACATTGACCCACTTCACACACCCTATACCCCGCGACACAATGACCCCCTCCGTACCCTACACACTGACCTACCATCACACAGCCTAAACACTGACCCCTCCGTACCCTACACACTGACCCACCTCCATCACACAGCCTAAACACTGACCTCTCCGTACCCTACACACTGACCCATCTCCATCACACAGCCTAAACACTAACCACTCCATAGCCTACACACTGACCTACCGTCACACAGCCTAAACACTGACCCACCTCCGTACCCTACACACTCACCCACCCTCATCACACAGCCTAAACACTGACCCACCTCCACACCCTACACACTGACCACCACCATCACACAGCCTAAACACTGACCCCTCCATACTCTACACATTGACCCACTCTCCTCACACAGCCTAAATATGGACCACCTCCATACCCTACACACTGACCACCACCATCACACAGCCTAAACACTGACCCACCTCCACACCCTACACACTGACCCACCTCCATCACACACCCTAAACACTGACCCCTCCGTACCCTACACACTGACACACTCTCATCACACAGCCTAAACACTGTCCCCTCTGTACCCTACACACTGACCCACCTCCGTACCCTACACACTGACCCACCCTCATCACACAGCGTAAACACTGACCCACCTCCATACCCTATGCACTGACCTACCATCGCATACACATTCATTGCACAGACCCACCGTATGTCCCCTCCCGCCCCCCCATATGCCCTGAAACCATCTCCATCTAAGCCAAGGTTCCCCTGGGAAACGAATCACGCCAGTATCGGTCTTGCATCACAACACACCATTTGCTTTCATTTGCCTATTAGGTGATGGCCCCTCCATTCTCTGTCTCGCAGCCTCTTGCAGTTCCAGCAGACACCTCTGGCTGGGACTCTGTGGGGCGGGCCCCATTCCTGTGTGACGTCTGGGGTGTCCTGAAGGGGAGCAGGCGCTAGCCTGCTCCCTCGTGTTACCCGTAGCTCGTTCTGTCCCTGCAGATCGTTCTTGAGGGCGTGATCGGAACAGGACACAAAGGCAGCATGGCCCTGGATGACCTGATTCTATCTCCAGGCTGCGTCCTGGCTGCAGGTGGGCGGCCAGACAGGTCCCTTTGCTCGCTCTTTGCCAGCTGCTGGCCTGGAGTTTTAACCCTTAACTCCCTCTGCACGGGACTAATGGGCAGGGCAAGGTTAGTCCTGTCGCTGATGGCAGCTTCTTCAGGTCAACCTCAGAGCTGTGAGGTCATTCACTCCTGACTCCCTGTTCGCCATGCAGCACAGCATGGCTTAATATCTCTCTGTCTCTCTCTCCAGCTAGCTGTCTGTCTGCCCCATACACCCCCTCAAGCTATAGCCCCAGGCAGAGGCAGATTAAGATTTCCTGGGGCCCTGGGCCAGAGCAAGTGTGTGTAGTCATAGAATCATAGAATATCAGGGTTGGAAGGGACCTCAGGAGGTCATCTAGTCCAACCCCCTGCACAAAGCAGGACCAATCCCCAATATAGTCCCTCCCCACTCCATCCACCTGCAGCCCCGCCTCTGTTCTGCCCCTTCTGCCTGTGGCCCCGTCCAGAGCCCCACCCCTTTCTGCCTCTTCCCCGGGGGGCAAGGAGTCCAGGAGAGCTGGCTGTATTTTAAAGAAGCCTTATTGAGGGCGCAGGAACAAACCATCCCGAAGTTCAGAAAGAATAGCAAATATGGCAGTGACCAGCTTGGCTTAACAGTGAAATCTTCGGTGATCTTAAACTCAAAAAGGAAGCTTACAAGAAGTGGAAATTTGGACAGATGACTAGGGAGGAGTATAAAAATACTGCTAGAGCATGCAGGAGTGAAATCAGGAAGGCCAAAGCACAATTGGAGTTGCAGCTAGTAAGGGATGTTAAGAGTAACAAGAAGAGTTTCTACAGGTATGTTAGCAACAAGAAGGTGGTCAGGGAAAGTGTGGGCCCCTTACTGAATGGGGGAGGCAACCTAATGACAGATGATGTGGAAAAAGCTGAAGTACTCAATGCTTTTTTTGCCTCTGTCTTCACACACAAGGGCAGCTCCCAGACTGTTGCACTGGGCAGCACAGTATGGGGAGGAGGTGAGCAGCCCTCAGTGGTGAAAGAGCTGGTTAAGGACTATTTAGAAAAACTGGACATGCACAAGTCCATTGGTCCAGATCTAATGCATCCGAGGGTGCTGAGGGAGTTGGCTGATGTGATTGCAGAGCCATTGGTCATTATTTTTGAAAACTTGTGGCAATCGGGGTAGATCTCCGACGATTGGAAAAAGGCAAATATAGTGCCCATATTTAAAAAAGGGAAGAAAGAGAACCTGGGGAATTACAGACCGGTCAGCTTCACTTCAGTCCCCGGCAAAATCATGGAGCAGGTACTCAAGGAATCCATTTTGAAGCACCTGGAGGAGATGAAGGTGATTGGGAACAGTCAACATGGATTCACCAAGGGCAAGTCATGCCTGACCAACCTGATTGCCTTCTATGATGAGATAACTGGGTCTGTGGATATGGGGAAAGCGGTGGATGTGATATATCTTGACTTTAGCAGAGCTTTTGATACAATCTCCCACAGTATTCTTTCCAGCAAGTTAAAAAAGTATGGATTGGATGAAAATGGACTATAAGGTGGATAGAAAGCTGGCTAGATTGTCAGGCTCAACGGGTAGTGATGAACGCCTCGATGTCTAGTTGGCCGCCGGTATCAAGCGGAGTGCCCCAAGGCTTGGTCCTGAGGCCGGTTTTGTTCAACATCTTTATTAATCATCTGGATGATGGGATGAATTGCACCCTCAGCAAGTTCGCAGATGACACTAAGCTGGGGGGAGAGGTCGTTATGCTGGAAGGTAGGGATAGGGTCCAGAGTGACCTAGACAAATTGGAGGATTGGGCCAAAAGAAATCTGATGAGGTTCAACAAGGACAAGTGCAGAGTCCTACACTTAGGAAGGAAGAATCCCATGCACTGTTACAGGCTGGGGACCGACTGGCTAAGCAGCAGTTCTGCAGAAAAGGACCTGGGGATTACAGTGGATGAGAAGCTGGAGATGAGTCAGCAGTGTGCCCTCGTTGCCAAGAAGGCCAAGGGCATATTGGGCCATATTAGTAGGAGCATTGCCAGCAGATTGAGGGAAGTGATTATTCCCCTCTATTTGACACTGGTGAGCCCACACCTGGAGTATTTCATCCAGTTTTGGCCCCTCCACTACAGAAGGGATGTGGACAAATTGGAGAGAATCCAGTGGAGGGCAACGGAAATGATTAGGGGGCTGGGGCACATGACTTACGAGGGGAAGCTGAGGGAACTGGGGTTATTTAGTCTGCAGAAGAGAAGAGTGAGGGGGGATTT